TTATTTTTTAAGGCACATGACGTGCTAGTAGCGTTTGGTTCAACGCATGTACAGTTTTTTAATGGATAGACAAAAATCCATAGAGCGTTAACTGCCTCGATGCTGGCGAAACTTTAGTTGTCGAGCATTACATGTTGTACTGTAACTGTGCACTGACGTAGTAGGTAGAACCAGGGACGGGTTCATGGCTGCAACAATTGAAAGGCTTCGTCATCATGCATTTTGTAACTTGAAATAATTTCATGCCGCTTATTAGTAGAAGACACATGCGCTGGTATAAAATCAAACTTTGATGCATTTGAAGAAAGGAATTGGTACAATGATCCTATTAATTGATGATGAAAAGATATAAATTTCTTTTTATTGTGTTTTTTATCAATTGATTCAAACATGAAAGAAGATTTATGCGTTCTCAATTAGATGCCATTAGAGATGGAAGGATAAACCATTATTCACACCTGACTGATTGACTGGGCTCAGAGATTGTGGCAGAAGAACGTTAAACAGAACTGCACACCAAAAAATTAGTGGCACTAGTTGAGTGCCAGGAATGTGACTCATCGGTCCGCATTCCATATGGCAGAGGTTGGCTGGCAACGTGATCCCTACGAGTCTTTGCCTACGGTAAAAATAGCACTGAACATTCCACAACGAATGCTCTTTGAAAGCCAATGGATACGCAACCACCGTATTCTTCTCGCAAAAGGGATGTTAAAGTATGAGTTTGAGTTTCAAGGCAAAGCATGGTGGTTTGTGTAGTCTTCAGCCCTTTTGCAATAAAGAATTCTGACACTACGGTTGATCAAGGAGACTGTGATATACGGTGCTCATGCAATATACATTACGTCGTTTACTGTAGTTCCAGCCAGGGAGAAGGAAACTCTTGGACACAAATCCAGCTACAAGAACTGCGGTAATAATTTCCATAAATAATATTTCGGTCGTCTACGTCGGACCCTTGAACTTATGGACAAAGAATGACTGCCAATTGGCAATGTATTAGGAAGAACATCTGAATCCTCTGTCCATTCGTGTTCGCTGTAGCTGTCCACGAACGTCGCCAAAAATTCATAGCTGGGAGAAAGTCTTTAATATTCCTTTTTCAATATGTGTAACAGACTATTTTTTGCGATGACTTTAAAAAGACCAAGTATCTTATGTAATGCCTTTTCCGATTTAAAGCAATTTCCATTATAGACAGGTTCCGGTTTCTAGTCACAGCGGCCAGAGCGCACAATGCGAACAGTTAGTTGCCGATTGATCTTCGCCATATTGGATTAATATCTGTCATTGCTTAGCGTTAGGTATTGATATGTATTGATCATTTTGAGGAACATGTGTAAGTAAATGCATACAGGTCAAGAAATTTAACTATTGTAATGGTTTCTTAAAATATTTACATTTGGTATGTGCCTCTCAACTATGAGTGAAGGAACTGGATGGTTAAAAAACAACCAGAAAACCAACGCAAAAGTTTTGTTTTACGCCAGTGTTTGGGCCAAAAATCGTTGGCCATTCTCGGAACACTTATTACAGATGTCAATAATGATCTTCTGCTTATGCACGGAACTGTTAAATTATGGCAAACAGATTTTCTTCCACAGAAGTTTTCATGGTAAAAACATACTTTATGTGAGAATTAGATTTGTGAAACAATTTCTTGTAATAAATGCATACTTTCAATTATCATTGGAATAATTTCGTCCGTGAGATGGTGTACTGCTCCCTGCTTCCAGCAGAAACTGCTGGGGAAGATGTAGCTATGTTGCAGCTAACCGAGGACACCTACAATCGCTCCAAGCCTCACAGGGCCGTCAGTTGAAAACCCATTCAGCCCGGTTGAACGGAAAACGAACTTTCTACCCACGATGCCTGGCCAGCCTGAGCATCAGCCAAGACAGTTTGCAAAAGTCGACTAGAAAATATAATCAAAGATGGCTCCCAGGCCCTGCGTTCAGTTCGAATTGGACTGAAGCGCCAGGGCACAGCTAGCTCCTTCGGTGCAGAGCTGGCTAAACGACGTCATACGGTGGGAATGCATGCAGTAGAAGCCCTGACATTCATTCAAATAAAATTTATTCAGCCGCATTTACAACCTCACTGAACGCGCTTGCCAACTGCCTTATGTAGTTACGGTACCTTGGTGGAAAAGAAAATAGATTAATAACGGTTACGAATGCAGCTGTACGGTATTGAAGGAAGGAGTGGATTGTTGGACTTTCTTTGTGGGACTAGCTGCCAAATATAGAAATAAGAAGACCTACGGGAATGCAGAACGTAATATCAGAGCAAAAGAAAGAAAATGTCAACGGACTGGTCGTATAATGCAATAGTGATGGATTGTTACCCAAAATTCCGCAAACCGCTCAATTGGAAGGCCATGGCTGAGATGATACGAATAGCTAAAACAGAAAATTGACGTTTGTGGCGACAAATTGTATGTGATAGGCGATCATGGACATCGAAACCAGGTAATGATAATCCCCGTTGATCAACAAAAATGAGAGTTAATTGTTGTTGCTGTAAGTTAAACAATTTAGAACGCACTGAGGAACAGCGAGTACCGTCAAATTCAGATCATAACCTGCAGAAATTATACGGCACTAGGCAGAACAGATTTAGCATAAGTGACACTCTGTGTAGCTGCTAGCTTTCAAATGACGAGCCTGGGTCCAAGTGGTACCGGCTTCGATGCTCAGGTCTTTGAGAAGGTGCCGGAAAAGGTTGTTTGTGACCATATACGGGAAGATATATTTCGAATTAAAAAAAGGGATACGGAACTAATTAAATGAGTCCGTTGGATAGTCAGTGTTATCATGGCACAACAGTGGTATCTCATCGCATAGGTTCTTTGTATATGTTCGTTTTCACCACCATTAGATGCAAGATTGATGCAGATCTTTCTTTGGATTGCAAAGAGGTTTTACGCTCGTCGATCCGTTTTAAATCACTGAAATATTAATTGAAAAATATCTATTTATCGCAATGAATCATGAATGAATTCTGATCGTTATGATAAGCACTGAGGAAATTTTCAAAAAATTTACTTTTTATATGAGATATCCCTTGTGTAAAATTGCCAGAAAGAAGTTGAGTATCCGGAGTAAGAAAAAATAGTCTGTAACAGAGCGGGCAAAGAGCTGTTTTTCTGCTCGCATAAAATGAGCTCATGAAAAAAAGTTGAAATGAAAGAAACCATTGTTTAATAATTCACTTTTGGTTGAAGGGTACTCTGAGAGAGAGCCGAGTTTAAATACTGCAATATTTACTGAAATGATCGGCAGGCTTATTCCGACAGACCAAAGTAGATACTGTATGATAGCAGGTTGGTACTGTGCTGAACACGAATGTGCTTAGGGTTAACCAATAAATGAAAAAAATTTTATGGATCTTCGAGAGTGTTCTGTTGCAAATACATACACAAACCACGACTTCAATGCAGACAAAGTACCGATGTGATCTCCACTAGAATTTTCAGATGTGAATGTGAATACGAACCAACCACATAGTGTTCATGCCGTTGCGGTACTGGCGCTCATTCGCCGACATCTTTACTGCTTATGATTAAGAGAACGATCCCTTCCATTGTTTTCATCTTCGTAAACAGCTTTGAAGGTTGTAACCGAATCAGATTTACCACTGAATATCAGTCGAACCGGGACACACCATACATGATGATTAATCGCTCGCGATGGTTGCATCATTTCAGCTTATGATCATGAGTAGCATCAGAACAGGTGTCTCACCCAACCTCATCTGTCAATCCCTCAATTTTGGTGAACACTGCTAGCTATATGAGGAAAAGAACCGCAAAAGAACTATATTAAAAGTACTCAAGTCATGAAGAAAGTACTACATTTGATGTTTGAATTCTTTGCAAACGAAACTTAGCCCGTAAGTATTTTTAAATGTGTATCTTGGTCCGATTAAATTGATCAAGGAGCGGGATTAACGACGAACCATTCCTGTCACGTTATCATTTTTCTATGTCGATATTTTTTTGAGAAAGAAACGAGGAAGCATGGAGGGAATTTGAAAGGTTGTTCATAGTGATGATGTGCTTGTGCTCAACATTATTGCAGTATTGTACAGGTTAACTAAAAAAAGAATACTCGAATTCGCAAATAACTTGTCGAGTATCAAAATTGAGGAAACGTCTACAGTGATATATTCATCGCATCGTGCTGCCACGAGGAGTTTAGCTATGCTAGCTTTTCCCATAGACTTAAAATATGCGTAAATTAATTAAGTTGCAGCAGCGAACGAATGTTTAACATGTAGCAGATGAGATTTTCTGACCTGCTAATGACTGGCGTTTGGTAAGTGGAGATATTCCCGTGTGTTCATAATAAAAATTAGCGTTAGCGTCTCGCAAAGCCATGGAGAGTCACACTGCACGGGTACCGGCTCGAACTCGAATGTATGAACAAGCCTAGCACTGGCTAGAAGAAAGCGTTGATGGCAGCGGGACGGCCCTCGACCTCCAGCCGGGGTGTTGGAGGGCGACCGACCGATCGCCCCCTGTGGCAAGATATCTAAACGCACGGTCATCCGCGGGGACATCGTGACGTGATGCTAGGAAAACGTGTCACCACCGCGGTTTCCGCAGTCGTAGTCGTCGTCGAGTCGAGTTCGACGACGTCCAACCCGCTCCTGTCATTTATATATGGTCTTCGCCGCCGCCGCCGCCGTCCCCGTCAACTAAGACAGCGATACGATCTCGGCACGCGAAAAATGCGGTTCTACGCGTTGTGTATCACCACTACAATTGGAACGACGCTTTTTGAGAGAAAAGTTTTTCTATTGCCAACTACCAGACGCTTGATACGCTCTCTGTTACTGAACAATCATCGATCAAGCAACATAAGAAGAAGAAGAAGAAGAAGAAAAAGAAGAAGAAGTAGTAGAAGAAGAAGTAGAAGAAGAAGCGAAGAAGAATAGTAATAATAATAAGCTCGGGCGATTAAAGCTGAACAGTTCATCACAAAGTACATGTGTGCTTAACGGTAGCCGGAGAAGGAACCCACTGGCTGGCTGGCTGGTTGGCTGACTGGCTGGCTGGTTGGTTGGCCGACTGACTGAAGGAACAGCAGCTGCGCGAACCACATTCCGGGAGCAGGACATACACGACAGTCAATGGCGAAAGCGGTCGTGGTCGTCGGCAGACCAGGCCTTTCGGGACCAGCACAAAAGTGAGCAGTAGCAGCGACCAACAGGCGGCGGTGGCGGCGAAGAGACAGGCGACGAAAGTTGGTGCAGCGACAGAACAGGAAGGCGCAGTGTAGAGTTACTGTAGTGGCTGTACGGACCATTTGAGCAACGGCGGCGGACGAAGCGGACCAGAAGACGAAACAGCGGCCAATTGGTGCATGCACATCATGAGATCACAGCAAGTAAACCGGAAACCACCTGAATGGACGAACGGACGGATTGACGGACGGACGGATAGGAACAGAGAGGAACGGAGCACAACGAGACCATAGCACGTGCTGACAGTATTACAGTACGACGACGACGAAGCTCGCGTTAGCGGCAAGGGCAGGGATGTCCGGCCATTCTTCCTGTACAACGATACAGTAAAATACTGTACGACAGTTACACACAAAGTTGTTGCCGCAATGCTGTTTCGCTCGCTCTTTCAGACACAGGTGGTTACCGTTGGTGTCCGCCATCGCCTTCATCCTCGCCCTTGCCGTCGCCTCCTTCGCACGTGTTATTTAAAGCTTGATCGTTTGCTCATTAGCGGAGCCGTTAAGTCCATGTACGGGTTGAATATGGTGAGACACGTCGTGAACCGGTCGTTATGGAAACACTTGTTCCTAGAAACAAGATTCTTGAGCTAACACTAAGCGCACTCAAGCGAATCGAAAATCGCCAGATTTGGTACCACGGACACGTACCTGCATTTGGCCCTCAGGTTTGGGTCTTCGTGACGGAACATCTCATGGCACATCTCGCATATTCGGTCTACAACCGCGTGCAACGCCTCGTTCTTGTAGATCGGACAGTCGTCTTCCTCCCAGGGTCGCTTTGCCGCCGGCAGTACGTCTCTTTCAGAGCTGTCGCCACGCAAGACCCGCGCGTTCAGCCCGTTCAGCCACAACAGGCACATTAGCAGAACGGACAGCATCCTGGTCAGCAACAGATTGTTTTTCAACTCGATGAACACAGCGGAAGCAACGCTAAAATTCATCTACCTCAACGACATACATGACAACTGTCACAACGAAGGTTTACACAGCGCGCTCCGCTCCTCCCGCCCGCCAGTCGGAGGTGGCGAATCAGAGCAGGCGTCACCGGCGGGGCGAATCAACGCACGGCAAACACTTGAGCACTTTGCGAGGCTCCTGTCCTTCTTTTACAACAGTAGCGAGTACGCATAAAATTGGTCATTTGTAAAATTCGGTCTCGGAAGGCACTTTTATGGCCGTTAACCATGTCATCGATTGAATTAGGCTAGCTACAGGCGCTGATGCTCCCACCTCCACCCACCCCCCCTCCGAGTTCACTGAAAATTCAGATCAGTTGTATTGGTTCTGGTCTTAACATCAAGAATGCTACGTCCTTTACCAGAAGAATAACGTCGCTGTTTAAAATAGCTAATCGAGGAACCGTCATTGTAAGTTCTTGATGCATACGCGAACCATGCGTCTCGTGCGACATTCCACATATCAAGATGTGATGCGAAATAAGCCTGAAATTTGCTGATCATGACTGGACGATCACTGACACCCATCGACTGGAAATTCTTGCCGGCAAGGGGATCAATCTCTTCTCACTGACCAACCGATACTAGGCACGTGTGTTAATCTACGTCGCTGACGACTCATGCGCAACACCACACCCTACGCCGGTGTGCTCCGCTTGACACTGGACACTGTCCATTCATGGTCAGCAGCAACATCGCTGTGGTCGACGAAAGGAATGCGAACTATGCGCGATGCTATGCGCGGAATGGTGACGCTCTGTTTCTAACAACCGAAGATATTCTTATATCGCGCAAACGCACATGCTTCTGTTGCGAACATTGGACTAAAATATATTAGAGTGCGCCTGACTGTGAACCGATTCATCGAAAATTCTATTCCAATTGTCGGTCCTGGCACGACCGTCTCTTTGGGAGTTTCCCTGGAACGCTCCAATCATGCTTATTCTGCTTTGTGCCACTACCGCAAGGTCAACAACTAAGAAAAAGACGTTCTGACACCTTCCTGAACATTTGTGCAATAGTGACCATTGTTAGCTGGCTAACAACTTTGGGCTGAAAGCAGAATCGATACACGAACAACCGACAACTGATATACATGAATATTACAGATGCAAATAAGGAATAATAATTATGAGCTTCCAAATTAAGTAATACTAGACAAATGAAGCAAATATACGAAAAATGAATGATCAAGCAGGTGAAAAGTTCGTTTCATGGTAAAATGTGTACAGTATAAAGACGTGCTCACGTAAATCATATGACGCTAAGACACCGGAAGGTATGTGACGAGTGCGGAGAGTAAGACGAACCAATACACTTAAGGATGGAAAGCATAAACAGAATATACGGACATACGTACATGCGTATACGTGTACCTTTGAGCATTGTCCTTCATTGAGACGAGAGACCAAACGATGCAAGGGTTTCATTGTGCAGCGCTCAAGAATAAACTCAGTAGGCGGTCCTGAACGCTTCTGACTGGATCGCTTTCTGGTCGCTTCATCTTCTGGTCGTACAGATTTAGCTTTAGGGAGCGAAGGTAAGAAACTTGGTGACGAAGAAAGAGTTGACTACTAATATGAAGTTATGCGTGATGTATTCCTCACGGGTACCTCCACTTACTCTCGTCACATGAGTACTGGCTATTGGCTGAAAAAGTGAGATGCCGGATATGAAGGGAAGAGGTGTGGTTTCTTCGAATGACTGCTGGCGTGACAAAATTCGACAGATTCTGAAACGTGGCAGTTACGGAAACCCTCGGTTTTGAACCGCTCCTTCTTCAGCTTCAGAGGTAACGATTGTGGCTGTCCTGTCAAATGATGAGGATGCGACTATGAAAAGATTCCACAGAAGCATTCTGCCAGCAAACCTACAGAAAAAACGGCACAGGGGCCAAACCTCAACAAGATGACTCGATTACGCAGATGAAATGACACTGTCGAACCTTGACCACAGAGTTTGCCACCTTGGGTCACTAGAAGGGCCTGGTGGAGCATCTATTGCAGGGAAAAAGGACCAGCGAGCTTTCAAAATGAATAAATGATAATGAAGAGATCAGATGATCCTAAGCTGCAGCCACTGCCTCATCATCCAACGATTTCTAGCTTAGGACCAGTATTGCCTTACTATTAGAGGTTTATACGAGGAAGCGATTTTGGATAGCCTGAGAAAACATAACACTCTCTTATATCCACAGTTTCTATATCTTTTCATACTTTAACTCGTTCAGTCATTTTTTAATGAACACGTTATTTATTTGTAGCAAACGCGTAGGCGTGATGTTCGACGAATCAATGCTGCTATTGTAAATCCTCACAACCTGCCAGGTAGACATTCAACGTTTGCATGGCCGCGTTTAAAGTTGTGAAAAAGAGCAATTATTGATCTCAATTAACTAACTGATTTTAGTACCATTTTGTTCTATCCGATGATATGGAAAACGGCTGAACTTCATAAGGTGCTATTTTTATGTTTTTCTAAAGTTAATTTAAGGTAGCAGCTGCTAATTGCTTGTGTGGTCGAATGAAAAACACGCTGCACACCGAAGGACGTCATGCAACGTATGCAAGGCGTACGTAACTGTATTGCTGTTGACGTTATGAGGTTTGTTGGAGGTCGCAGCATGAACTGCAGGGAAACAAGAACTATTCCTTCAAGTCGGTGACTACTTCTACTGATCTGAGTGTTTCAATGCCCTTTCTGCCTGTATACCCGTATGGTTGTCTTGGAACGGTTAAAACGTGAACAGTCCATGTCAAAATTACCCCGTACCTTCCTTTGTGTATGTTTCATTGCTCCACATTACAGGAAACAGAGAGAAGAACTTTGTTAAGCGATGAGGTGAAATTTGATTGGAGTCGAGGCAAAAGAATTTTGAGCTTGACAGGAACTGCGTACTGAATAAAAGATGCAACCGATTCCATGAAGTGCATGATTTTCCGTTTAGCTATCTTACAAAAATGAATGATATTAAGCCTTTGGGCCACAGTACTAACATCAACGAGAACTATATTTTTTTAGCGCACCATTAAGTTTGAGTCACCAACGGAAGGCAATGGAGCTCCTGAAAATACTTGAGATGCATTCAAGGCATCTGAAGAAGTTTGCCATGATGACGATAGGAGGATCAAGAATTCAAGGTACTGATTTCATGGCCCCTCGCAGAACGCTTTGCAAGGTATGTCCCAGAAAACTACCACGCGTATCTTGAGGCTAGCCAGAGGGTTTAATTTTTAAAGAAAACGAATGTACGTTGATTGAATGCTGTAGAAACAAAACAATAACCGAAAAATTATTATTTATAGCTGTTTCTTTGACACCAGCAGCCAGAGGATTTCAAAGATAGGTGGTAAATATAGATTTATGAAATAAGCTGCTAGTAAACCGTACGTTCTTACATACAAAGAAAAAAGCTGCAAGCGTATTACTGGTGAATTGCCAACGTTTTAAATCAAGAACACCTTGGGCTAAAATGATAACTTTACTTCTTCCTAAACGGTGAATAGATAAGCAATGTTTCCTAATTAATAATCATTAAGAGGTACAGAAAAGGAGGGAACATTAGCTTCTCATATCAGATATAACTCGAACACATGCGATGTCTGCACAAAGGGGATTATGAAACGAGATTTGCACAATACATGAACCCCAGAGAAACTATGATGCAAAATCTTTCCATCGTTCCCTCCCTATTTTGGATAGTGATAGTTTCTTTCAGAACTAATGCAGTGTGAATTTGATGATACGCAAAAATTAGCAGAAGGCAATATTTTTCAAGAACCAGCACAGAACAGGGGGAGGACCATATCGTGCTGTTATTGTTTCCAGAAGAGGTGAGCGTTTGGTGTGCTATAATACGGTGTTCAAATCTAAATATCAAAGATGTGGAATGGATACTCAGTCATTAGCAACATACGGGATAGGCCAGCCAGCTGAGGCTTCGAACTCACCGCCTACAAACTGCGAGTTCGAAACGCAGTCATGTCACGTACTCTTAAAATTTCTGAGGAAAATAAAAGAGTACCAGCTTCTCAGAAGAAAAACAACGAAGATGCTACCATCTGTAACTATCACACATACTCACACATTGATTTTAAAATATGCGCTGCTAGCTGATTTACCTAGGAATAAGGTAAATGAAAATGAGATTTAGAAAGGTAATCGATATGGAAGTGTAAGAGAGACTGATATCTTGTAAGAATCTTGTAAGAAATCTTTCAGCACTCAGGCCAGAGTATTCAAAGCTATCGCGGATATCCTGGATGGCCTCTGAGTTAAAAG